TTAAAAATTGTCTACGTAATTAAAAAAAAATATATATTATATATTGTATACAAGTATAAATATTTTAGCTGTTTGATTCTTTTTCTTTTTGTATTATAAATTATGAAAAATAAATAATCAAAACTAAGTGTTTATAAATGTATTAGATCATAATATTATTGTAATAAAACTTTTTTTGAGGAAAAGTGATGAGTGAAATAATATTGTAACCTTTGCCAATAATAAAAACCGAAGCCTATTTTTGCATAAACTAAATACCTCTATTATATAATATGAAAAATATTTTTAAATAGATAAGACGTTTATTATCCTTTATATGGTATTTAATTAAGTACTATACCTACTATGGAACAAAATATTATAAGTACTTGTCTAATTTGTGTGATTAAACCAGATTTTTTACCATGGTTTAATCCAAATTACAATACTAAATGTAGATATTATTGTCTTTATAATATTATATATGCATTGGTGTGCGTTGAAACTTTCTACAATGTAAAACAATAATGATCGCTTTCAAGTTAAAAGTGATCATTATTCATTACTGGTAATCATTATACTCGTACATATTTTAATTATCATTAAAAATATATTATATTGTTTTCATTCATAATATTATATTATATTCAACTCATATTATATTTTGATAGTTGTCACAATGTAGTCCAAATATTGATTTTAATTAATTACTATTCTCATGCTATCGGTCTATAAACGTAATAATTATATCGTGTATAAAAATACTAGAGTTTGATAAATTTAAAACTTCATGACATGTTAAGCTCACGATCTTATCAAATCTTGAATACTCTGAAAATTGTGTCAACTGCAATGTCATAATATTAATATTACGCCATCTTAATAATTTTATCGTTCAGAATGTAGGCACATCATACAAATACGATATCAGGTAGGTACTATATAATATAGCTATATAGTAAATAACACGTAACAGATACACAAAAACGTCGAATAATGAGTTAGGTACGCATAATAATTTCGATGATTTAAAAAAAATTAATTATCAGGCGTGTGTAAATTAACAAATCGATTCTATGACATTGTGAGTGCTAATTATTATAAACATCGTTGTAACGAAATATAATAAATTTCAAACATCAATATTGAAATCGAATGGCTTTTCCGGGAGAATAATTATTTCAATGTACTGTCGTGTTTTTTTTATTAATCGTTTTCCAATGAACATTTTACATTCACATAATACTCGTACAATACACTACATAATATTATATCGTACTTGTGACCGAGAAATTTTCCGAGAATATATCAAGAAAAAAATAGTTCCGAGATTTAATTCAATGGCTAATCGTGAGTGCCCCATAATATATAAGTTATTCCATATTTTAATCCAAACCACGCATATTATAGTATGAATATATTATTCAAGACGTGTTTCATTAATAACGCACATGCCTACAACCTACGTAATATATAAGTGTGCATAATATTATTATACGATTGCTCGTTGGTTGTCGCAGTATGGTCAGTGGAACATTATTATACGATTACTCGTCGCAACGGCGTTTCCAGCTTAAAATGCGTATTTGGTTAGAGAACTGTTTATAATATTTTATCCTAATTGGTAACAATATTGATTAAACATTAAAAACAAATTGTATTTAATCATTAGTGATTAGGTACATACCTAAATTGAAAGTTGACAACAGTACCTGCCTAGTTGAACTGTTATTTAAAACATTGAAACATTTGATATTAATAACAAATAAAAATAATAGAATAAAATACAATTGCAGTCTTTATTCTTTTAAGATTTTTAAAACTATATACATTTTAAACAAAATTGATATATAGGTACAACTATGATAATAAGTATCCTTTATAATTAAGACGCTCAACGGTGTTCATCATTGATATAAAGTATGTTTGGATTCAACGGGTTGCTGAAAAACGTCTCCCAATACCACGACCAAGATTCATTTTCGATTTTTTTTTTTTGGGGGGGGGGCTTATACCTACTTGATATAGAAATAGCCAGAACCTAACCAGAGTTACTCTAGTAGTTATTATTTTTTTTATTTGCACTCTTTTACTTTGCACTATTATTATAGGTACTCGATAACATACCAATAGTCTCAATAACCAATACCAAATTTGATGTCCGGGGAAAAAGTTTTTGTATCGATACTACGATTTACGATTGTACACTTTCAGAACCAATAGAGTTACCCAGGCCCTATTATTTGTAAAATTTCGGACTGCACATTTAATTTTATTCTCGCTACCATCTTAGCAAAAGGAATGTATTACATAATACATATTACATATTACATATATATATATTATATACCATATGTATACAATAATTTAACAATGCAATTCAATAAAACAACAAAATACTTATCTTTTAATAAAAATCATAAAAATTAAATAGCATAATATAATAATAAAAACCTTAACTTAACTTTTTAATAATTAAAATCATAACAATGCATATTACTTTCTTGATTTTTCATCAAGTAAGTATAGTAATTGAAATGAAAAAAGTCTGAACTTTGAAAACTTCAAGAATTTGTGTTAAATAGGAAAATAATAAAAATGTAACTCAGTAATGATGAATAGGTGGGTAATTTAGCTAGCTTTAATATAAAATATTAATAAGAGAGATTTTATATCACACCCAAGCGGTATACCCAATTTGAATCGATAAAAACATTCGCGTGAACAGTCCCAAAATTTCTATTTTTTAACTTTTATCCTAAACTATGATACCTAGCTAGAAATTTGGTTGATAACTCATTAAAAAGGGATTATCAGGTAGACACTAAATGTGGAATTAATTTTTTTTTTTTAATTATTTAATTTTTCACAGATAAAAAAAAGAAGAGTTATTTTCTCTAGATTTTCATTTAGAGATATAGATCTCCGAAACTGGAGAACGGATTTTGTTGTTTGGGGTTTTGTTAAATTCACATTTGCTAGGAGAATTGCAGTGAAGATTTTCAGAACTTTATCTAAAATCGTTAGGTAATTCATTACAAAGCTGTAAAGATGAAAAACATCAAAAAACGCCCAATAAAATTTGTTTTAATTTATTTTAATGTTCTGTAGTGAATTAACTATTAAAGATAAAGTTCTGCAAATCTTCACTGCACTTCTCCTAACCAATGTGAATCTAACAAGACCAAAATCAACGAAATCCGCTGTCCGGTTTCGGAGATCTATCTCACTAAATGAAAATGAAAATGATTTTTTGTGGGGCTGTTCACGCCGACATTTTTCTGGTTTCATATTGTTTGACCGCTTGGGTGTGATTAAATCAGTTAAAAAATTTCTAAAAATTCAAAATCAAGAAAGTTTACATGCCGATCCCTGACTTGGCTTTTTTTGTTTTGTAGACCGTAGTGCACACAGGTTCAAATCGTAGTGCACACTTGTATATTCGTAGTGCACATTGTGTGTCGTGGTGCACATAAAAATAGGGCCTGGAGTTAGCAATAATGTAATGATTAGAGTGGTGTGGGTGGGTTATTAATTTATTATCGTGTGTGCAGTGTGCACCCTAGATAGCAGGTGAATCGGCTTGAGGAAAATCACTTTAGATCAGTGATCGTGAATACATGGAGACTCGCTCGTCTCGTTGATGTGTAAGATTATTATTTATTATTATTGCTAACGAGCAAAACAAAAACAGTAACATACACACTATACAAACGTATAATAATAATAATATTATGATGATGATGATGATGATGGTGGTTTTACAAGATAGAAATAAAAATGTGTTTAACTGCCAGCCGGTGCCGGAAAGATGCGAAAAACGAACCTAAATATATATAAAAACGAACGCGATAGTAAAATAAATTTTCAACAAGTGAACCGTGAAGGTCACGCGACACGTCATTGTCGCCGATGATGAGTGCAAGTGCAAAACGCGGTCACGTCGTTGCGCCGCGTGTCGTCGTCGTTTCCGTACTGGCGCTAAAAATATCGTTTTTAAAAATACTACAACCGTAGGAAACTTTTTCTGGGGAGGGCGAAAACATTAAATTTTCTAAAACGTATATTGTTATTACGACCTTACGTTACTCGTGCAGCCTACGATTTGTTCGTCTCGACCAATATTGTTATTCCGATCGCCATACCTTCGCTGTCAATAATTCGCCCTCATGATTTTCGCCCTCGTAACCGATGAAATTACATCCTACAGTCCGCCAAAAATGTACTCGAGTTTAACGAGCTTTGACTTTAACAGTTTAGGATTCCAAAACGTCACAAATTTTCTTATAACAAACATGATATACGAAAAACCACAATTTTTGAAATATTTGAATTCATTACAATGAAACGTTTATCATATAAGTACTGTGACGAGTACTAGTAATTGGCATAGACCAAGAAAACTCGGCCCTGTAAAACGCGGCGGGTGTTGATCGCGGAGATCCGTCGGTGGAAATTCTCCGTTGTCCGGCACGTTTCGCGACGAATTTCGTTCGGGACCAGCAGCGCCAGGCACCCATCCCGCCGCGCCAAGCGATCACGCACCGCGCACGAGGGTCCGCCGTCGCTCCGGTGGATAGCGCTACGCGCGCGCGTTCGCTCGCCCACACCGCCCGACCCGCCGCACGCGCGCAACCAGAGCAAACGTCGTAGCCGCCGCCGTCGTAGCGCCGCAAACGAGTCGGTACCAAACGGCCGCGAGTCCGCAACGCGTTCACTGTTCACGCTCCCGCCGCCGCCGCCGCACGCACGTTTATGCGCAAAAAATATAACGACATTAATATCGCCATCGACACCGCCTTACCCCGAGACGTGCTAGGCATTAATCTCGCGGAGTCGCCGCCGCCGGCTGACATAATAATATTATTATTTTATCGGCGCCCGACACCAGACCGCGAGCGCTTGTATCTTCGCCGTGTCGTACTTATTTTATAAAAAACCCCCCCCTTTTGGCCGTGTAACAGTATAACATTGTAAGATATCTGAAACGCCGGACCAACCATGGATTTGTCGGTTTTCAGCAGCATGCTGTCGGTCAACGGGCCGAGGGGCACCAGACGAGAGGGCAAGAAGTTCAGACAATACGCCGCCGCGCTGTCCAGTGAGTACCCAACACCTATAATAATAATATTATTATTAAGATATTAACCATATTTTCTACTATTCCATGTTATAATATTATCAAGTGTAAAGATGGCATCCCCCTTCTAACCCTACACGGTTGTATAGCTACCAAAGCCCTCCCGTAGCAACGCGTCCAAGTCGTCGGCAGGCTAGGCACAGAGATCGCCCCTCGAAACCCCCCTCCCCCGCAACCTGTTTCAATTATAATGCGTGTAGAAACCTTTGTTGTAACCACGTCTCGGAGACGATGACGACCACGATATTACTGTTGTACGTCTGTATGTGTATAATAATGGTGCGATCTGGTCGGGCGAAAACCGGTCTGTCTGTGGGTAGGTAGATTACTATTATTATTATTGTTATTGTATAATTTTATACCTGCCTACCTCCTCGTGTGCACGTGCAAGCAGCTGCGCTCGTCGGGACAATAGATTTTCTGTCCGTCTGAGGCTGTGTCGACGGCTTTCTTATTATCTCGAGTCGGTTCCCTCTCACGGGCCAGCAGTCGTGGTTAACACAGTGGCACCCGAAACGGCCAATTTCGCCGGGAAAATAAGTCGAGTTTGGTCAGGTTCATGCCGATTTGTCAATTTCAAGAATGGAAAACAATAGTTCACCGATAACAGATAGAAATGATTACACAATGAGTCTTTAAATCGGGGAAATTCAATATTATTACTTAACCATCGTGCAATATTGAAATTAATTAGTTTTAATTAAGTAAAGTGGGAAATTATTACTGCAACCGAATATTTTTCCATACAAATAAAATAAGGCTCAGGGAGTTCGTCGCGTCGTTGTGTCACCCTCTCGGGGTAATCTATAAATAGTGAGTTAATAGATTTTACGATACAAATAACCGACTTGTTGATTATCCGTCGCCGTCGTCGGTTGCGAGGTGGTTGCCACTTGACATGCAACATGCTCATAACTGGGTGCGACCAGAACTACACAGACATAGGGTACCACAATATTATACTAATATAAAAATATACAATACCATAATATAATACGACGTGACGTCGCGGCTCGGGAATTAATATGACAATAATAATAATTTGTCCGTCGCGTCATATTTGATAGGACGAAGACGAACCTATTTCGTATTATTTAATTATAATATATTAACGTCGCCGAGTATAATAATATTATTATAATAATGATATTGTTGTCGTGGGTATACTTTTTCATCATTGAGCGACGACGTGATTCAGATGTCATTGCACGACGCTATATTACATATTATACATTATTATTTCATGTCTTGTTGGTTTACGGTATAACTCACGGTCGGTAGTGCGATTTTCTGGCGAAAACGTTTAGAGAAGAATAACTCGACCGCCGTCCAATAACCTGCGCGCACTTAACTCAGTATTTAACGTATAGGTGAGTTACATAATGCCAACGCGCCTCATAGTAAATATTATTGCCGGTTGCGTTATCTACGCCTATATTATTTATTATCGTCGTTATATGTTTTCGTCCAATCATTATTGTCGTCATTTTTTGAAATGTGTCCAAACAATTTTATATACCTACGTAAAATATAAATAATAAATAAATACGAGTTGTGCGCATTGAAAATAAAAAAAACATACGAAAAATTGTTTTTCAGTATACCGTCAGCCCCGGTTCGTCTACATCGTTCTGATTACTGAATATTACTGCTATCCGTTATAATAATCAAAAGACGTGTTTAAATTATATTATTGAGTATCTTTTTTTTTTGTATTTTAGTGTTAATTATTTTCCCGCGAGTATCGTAACTAATCTAACAAACTGTATCCACCTAATTCAAATATTTTCCATTGTGTTAAAGTTTGAGAAACACATATTATTTTCATCCAGTCACTGTTGTGGGGTAGTGGAGGAGGTAGGCTTTGAGTTGAAATTGTTAGCTTCTCGACGCTTGCTTGCACCCTCCATCCAATCAGTCGACGTAACGAGTAAGCCGCGAACTCAGCAGTTGACCGAGGTCGTTGCAGTGTGCAACGAGCAAAATCCTTTTATCTTCAACTCCACACCATTACGCCCTTCCCCTTAAATCGTTTTGTATAATTGTAAAAGCCTTTTAGTCCGTCGCCCTACCGAGATGGGAGCAACCTATAAATGCCTGAATAATGTTCGACCTACAATGGTATAAATATTGTCCGGCCAATTATATTTCTATGTATAATATTATTTATACCACCGTGGCAGTAATAACTATGCGAACTATATATGGCGATCTCGGTATCTGAAGTAATGGATGTAGGGTTGAATTTTGAAGGGGGGGGACGCCTTTAAAAAAATACTTCTATTAAAGATACTTTTGTAAATATCGAGGAAAGAGGCTATAGAACGATGGTTAGAAGTCTCAAGATCCACAAGTGGCCTGCAGTAGATGGTTTGACTTCAGGAGTTCCGATGACCATTTTTAACAGTTCACCAATTATTAATATCACGTCATATATTATGGTACATTTGTACCATTATATTTTATTTTATACGTTCGAACGGTTGTCGATTACTTACCACCATCGCATTTCAATTGGTGTACAGTGTCTGTTACCATATATTATGTTGATATATTATACGTTTTGTTCTAACGGCTTGAACGAAATGAATATCACCAGCAATAATAATATATAGCTTATTGCACTACTCTATTATAGCTGTGTACTAGACGATGTGCTCTAAGACGGTTTTAGAGATAGTGAAAGTAAACAGTAAACACTGTTCAAGTACTATATACTTTCTGTATAGGAGTACTATGCTAGGTGCATCGCCCAACCGCGATTAGAGACGAGCTTAGATTAGAGACATCAGCAATATTGGTATACACGTGTTGCCGTTACCACAACGATGGCGATCATTACTGTATTTTACCTGGTTATAGGTACCCAAATGCTTTTATAAAAATATATGAGCACTTACACGTAATTATACGGCTAAAAACCAAAGAGTTTCGTAACAGGTAAATTAACGTGTGCATTATACATTTGTGGACTTGTGGTTATACACTTAATACACAATAATGTCGGTGGGTAGAGGTAGTTTTAGTCGTATGTACGATTTCTGTACACGTAACGTCATATAGTATTTATGTAGGTAGGCCGAATGACCGCTGTGATTATGTTTTATACTGTACAAGGGCAAAGTTAATACTTTATTATTGATTCCAGTATTCCACAATATAAGATCCGAGTGGGCCGCGGGCGTTGTCATATTATACTGGTTAAGGGGGTGCTAAATCTGTAAATCATTATGAGGAAAATATCGTATAATTATTAATAATTATCCAACGAAGAGTAGGTGCTTATTGCAACCCGACGAATACAATTTCATGAGTAATATTTATATGATGCACGTGACAGTGCGACACGCCATTCGTATTACTTACTGCATAATTATACACCTATTATATTATACACTAATAATATATCATACTCTCACTCTTATAATTGTTTTACACCGTAATAAGACACACATACAGATACTGCAGCAGTAAATCTTGAATAACAAAAATATTGATTAGCTAATCGAGTATATCGTAAAAAATACACAGTTAGTAACAATACGTATTACCTATTATTTTGTCATCGCAGTTTATGTAACTCAATATTTTAGGTCACCTTAAAGCTTATCCTCTTAAGGTTATATAGTACCTAAAATACTTGATTAATGTTCATAACAATGATATTTTATATTTTTATAAATGTCGAAACAACCGTCTAAACTTTTATAATATAGTATAATTGTATTTATCGTCAATTATTGCATATATTTTTTTGAGTAAATACAAATTTTCTCCTACATAACTGTTGACTTGTGCAAAGTTAATTTGTTGAACGAAATATTATATCAGTGAAAATTCATTATTTGATTAACTTATGTAGTAACTATATTTAGATGGAATTTTATGTGTAGTATACGCTCAATAAATCTCTTTATTTTCCATACGATAATATCTTTGTTCTTATTTAGATTGAATAATGAATATGCATTTATTTTTATGTTTAAAAAAACAATTTACTTAATTGTATATATCAGTGACTTACATATTATCATTATTTGAAAACTATTTACTGTGACTTCATTTTTTCCAATTAATACGGATGACGTCTGAACACACCGCAAACCACAACATTATAATATTATAAGATTTCGGTATTAGATGGTACATACTACTTTATATCCACTACGTTTTTCAGAAATTTAATTAATCCAACATTTTCCCAACTTGATGATATGCATTTTGTCGGCTTAAGAACACGACGAGTGACTTACGCTGTATCCATAAATCATACAATCATAAATCGACGTGTTTCACTTTTTCTCCCGTAATTCGTATTTTCCATTCGATACCTATAACGATTAAGGATAATTGCATAGGTATAAAGCTAAGTAAATATAGAACATTGGCTTACAAAATGATAATTTGAATTAAACTGTGTCAAGTGCAATATTTCTGTTCCACTTCATGTCAACATATATTTAGTATTAACACGAAAAACGGGTGGTGACATTCAACATATATTCATGCAAACACGTCATTTTATTAGGTTTATATATTATAGTATAATTGTTTATTATCCACCTTGAAAGTTATTACTTATTAATATTAAAAATTTAAATGTTTAATTTTCATCTCTAATGTGGATTTATTAATTTTCAAATACAAATATTAACTCTTTCATTGTTATATTTCAATATCCACTAATATAAGATTATGTATTGCAGTTGTGTTCGCAGAAATTAACAATGGAGAGGGGTGTTATATTAAATATATATAAATATTGTTTTATTAACAGTCAAGCTCTTAATCGAGCTTAATTGTCTTAAACAACTACAGCTCTAAAATTAAAAAATAATTTTTTACCAACCCCCGTGTGTGTACGCCACCATTATGAGGTATTATATAGCAATCCTCCAAAATTATATCTTACTTGGGTATCTATATTACATTTTTTTTTCGATATAAAGTTACATACTAAA